AGGTGTGTCACGGGCACCTCTCAGCCTACCTGTCTATTAGGGTACAGAGACTAAGGAAAGCAGGCTTGGCTGCCAGGCCTTAAAGCAGTCTCCATACCCCGCTCAAAGTTGAACAGCCATGTCTGAACTAAGATCAGCACTACAACAACAGCCAAGACCATAGCCAGGACCAGCAGAGGTCTCCATCACCCAGAGTTGACTCCAAAGGGAACCCACAATCAAATCAGCAGTGCAGCCGGAAGCCCAGCTGACTGGCAACCTGTGCCAACCTGTGCCAACCTTTACCAACATCCCCAGTCCAGATCCCAGTTCCTGACTTGCCAAGAGCCAGGCGGCTGAGCTCAGGGGTGGGCTCTCCCCAGCCCAGCTCCCACTTTCTGCCAACCCCCTCTTCCTCCTACTCCCTCTCAGGTTACCACTCATCTTGGCCTGACCCTGGCCCAGGGCTTATCAATCCTCCCATTGTGTTGGGGGTGACTGGGCAGACTGGGAGCTCTGTTCGCTGGGGTTCTGGAATTAAAGTGTCTGAACAGCATAGGAAGTCAGTAAATTTGCTGGGAAGAAGAAAAGCACCACTGCAGTGGGGTGGGGTTGGGGTTGGGGCTGGGAGTGTTTCCTGTAGTCTGTGGGAATGGCAGCCCTAGGAGAGAAGCGTGTTGTGTGGATGGGGGAATACACTGGAACTTTTGAGTCTGGGACAGATCTCTCTCCAAGAGAAAGACCAGAGCTCCTCCCACCATGGCTAGTTTGGATTCAGCCCTAGGACCCCTGTCCCTGCACTGAGAGCCTCTGGTGCCTGGTCAGTCCCATGTGGGGTACTCTTGGGGATACAGAAGAGGAAGAGGTGGGTCAGGGAAGTGGTTCAAGTGGTAGAGCACTTGCCTAGCACGTGTGAGGCCCTGGGTTTAATGTCAAAGAATTAAAAAGGCAGAAGAGGGCTTTGGCCTCAGGGTATGAAAAGAGATAAGGCCAAGGCCAGGACCTTGGCAGAGAAGTCCAGAACACCATGACCAGGGATGGTGATTTTGTTCCTCTGCCTGGGAGGAGAGGCCCCCTGCAGCTGCCAGCCCACTCTAGCCTTCTTGCCAGAGGACCAAAAGGTCTGGGTTTGGGCCAAGATAGCCCTGGGCCTCAGTTTCCCCATCTGAATTACAATGAGTGTGGACAATGTGACCTCTAAGAGCCGCTGCTGGTCACTGTCCTAGCTCTTGTAGCCAGACCCCAAGATTCCATCTATCCAGACCACACCTGTCCATGTGATCAGGAGATGCACAGCACAGGAGACCTTGGGGTGTCCACCTGCTGGAGAGGCGAGAGGCCAAGCAAGAGATGTGCCCCCACAGCTGGCCTGCACAGGAGGGTCCTGTGAGAGGACAGTGGGAGTGGGCAATGTCAAGCAGCACCTGAAGAATGTCCAGCAGGCACTGGGTGGGCACCTTGACCCCTGTGAAGAGGTTTCTCCAAGGACTCCAGCTGGCAGGGCCAGGGTTACTGCCCGTTCCCATTTTACAAGTGAGGAAGCACCTACTCACTTTATCTGACCTCCGGTAAGCCCTTCCTACTCTCCCTAGCCCCACCCCACAGCAGCTGAAGTGACAGCAGGTCCCCTGCCTCTTCCCAGGGCCCTTCCTGGTCCCCAAGTTCATTCTGTGAACTCTGAGGACAAGGATTAGTATCCTGCTCCCTTCTGGCTCCCCAACTTGTAGCTCCAGCCAGAAAACCCACTTACACCCTTGGGACATTGGGAAGGACATAGAATCCCATGGGCCCCCAAGGGCCTCCCTGGGCTGGAGACAAGCTAGGCTGAGGGCCTCCCTTCTCAGTCTTCAGTTCTATGCTCTCCAGTGGCTGTGGGAGTTTACCAGGGAGAATGGGGGTAGAGAGGTGGCCCTGGTCAGCACCTCCACCAGCTTTGTTCCTGGCAGCTACTTTCCCTGGGTTTCAGCTGGGATTCATGCTCAACCTAGACAGAGCTAGAAAGAAATATGTCTCAGGGCCAAGCACAAAACTGCCTTTGTGTGAAGGTCAGATTCCAGCACCTCTGAGGCCTGGCTTGGTGGGGCTGCTCCCTTGGGAGGACAGCCTGAGACCAGAGTGTGGGACCCTAAATATTCTGGGGAACTCAAGTAGACCAGGGAACCTCTGAGAGTTCCAGGGTGAATTCTGACATCTCAGAGGGGCTTCCAGCTCTGCAGCTAGGCAGAAAGGAGGCCAGGGCTGTCCACACTGTATCAATGAAATCTAGGTCCCAAAGGGACAGAATGTCCAGTTAAGAGTTCTACCTCTAGTAAGCTGTGTGATTCAAGGAAAAGCACTGCTGGGCATGGTTGTGCCTGCCTATAATCCCAGCACTCAGGAAGCAGGGGAGGAGTATCATGAGTTCGAGGCCAGCCTGGACTACATAGCACTACCCAGTCTCAAACAAACAAAATGAGTTCTCTTCTTTGAGCTCTGTTTTCTTTCTCACATGGAAATGATAAATATGCATTCCTTACTGTTGCTATGGAGAAGATAAAATGAAAGAATACCAGAAAATTCTTTAGCACAGGGCCCAGCCCATGGCAACTGTTCAATGAAAGTTTGCTTTACTTAGGAAGAGGCTGCTGGGGCGGTGGAGGGGGGCAAGGTCAGAAGGGCTTTTTCCCCTCTCCTAATCCCACCAACGCCCCTCCACAAGTCTGTCATTAGTTGTCTTTTCTCAATATTGCAAAAGCGTTTTGTCAAAGGACAGTTGTGAGACCTGTCCCAACCTGTGATTCCACCCACGCCCTTGAGATAAAGGATTTGAACCTGAGCCCAAGGCCTGGCAACCTTGGGCACCAGCCAGTCTATATCTGCTTTTTTTTTTTTTTTTGGTGGTACTGGGATTTGAACTCAGGGCCTCACGTTTGCTAGGCAGGTGCTCTACCACTTGAGCCACTCCACCAGCCCACCACGTTGCCTCTGGATCTCTAGGCAGCTCCACCCCCGAGCCTCCCCTGCCTGAATGGGGGTCCTGCAGAGCGTGAGCCTGCTCAGCCATGCCCAGGGAAGCACCTGGGGTTCCTTGGGGACCTCTGCTCTGGGTATCTGCTGACAGTCATCGTGCCAAGAGGTCCTTCCCAGACTGTCCCTTCCTCTTATCACCACCCCAGAGGGAGCACAAGGACCTGAGGACAGCTACTCGCCATCCTCATGAGGCACCCAGTTCCCACAGAGCAGAGCCCTCTCTGGCCTTCCATTAACTCCTGTGTCCCCTGCACCAGCTCCAGTCCCTCCAGCAGCAAACCTGCTTGGGATTCTTTACCCCACCTCCTCCCCACTGTGGGACTGGAGGGCAGCACTGAGGATTAAGCACCTGGGACTTCCAGGCTTCAGTCTTCATTGCCACCTTGGCTCCCTTCCAGTCCCTTACATCAGTGCCACCATATATGCCTAGGACATCCCTGAGCCCAGGGCGTCGCTGGGCCCAGGCCCTCTGATTCTCACAATGGCTCTTCAAGTGTACTGGGTTATAGGGAATTTGAGGTGAGGGAGCAAGTTGAGGGGTGTGCTTTAGGTACCCAGCAGGTCAGTGGGGGGGTGCCCCAGTTCCTGGGAAGATGACGAGGCAGGCTACCTGAGCCTTGCTGGCTCTGCTCCTGGCTTTCTCAAACCATTCTAAGAAACCAGGGGTCCTCTCTGTGACCCAGCTCCTTCTTCTTTACCTCTGAGGAGGGTTGTGATAGCTAGCATCCACCCCTGTAAAGCCACCCCAGCCCTCAGGCCAGACCCCTGTCTAGGCACCCGAGACACAGCCTTGTCTGATGGCAGCAGCAGACTACCTGGTGAGAGGACTGGCATTTGGTCTCCAAAGAGTCAAACAGCTTGAAGAACATAATTGCTCGAACCATGGCCAAGGTCCTTTATGCCTCAGTTTCCCCACTGAACAGGGGTATAGCGACTGGTGCCCTACCTCCTCTCTCTCACCCAAGACAATGCTTGTGACAAAGCAGAGAAGTCCTGGCCCTGTCCTAGCCCCAGGAAAGCCCCACAAAAAGGAACCCCAATGAAAGAGAACTCAGAAAAGGCCTGGTGCCCCTCCTCCACTGCCCCCTAGTCCTGGTCTCATCACCCTGTGGTTTAGAGACACCCAGAAATGGGCCCTCTTGCCCAGCTGGTCTCACTTCACCCACTATCACCCACAGCCCGGAACCCACAGGCACACCCTAGCAGAAGGCCATCCACAGAACAGACGGTCAGTTCAAACACGACCACCCACAGCAGTCCAGCAAGCCACCAACCAGCAAATCCTCAAACATCCAGGAGCAGGGTGTCCTGCCCTGGTTCTTGACCCTGCTCTGGGGAGGAGCCTGCAGCTGGGATGTCACAGCTGGGAAGACCAACAACGCCATGCTCCCCCTGAGAGGTTACCCAGTCCAGGGACAGTTAGGTCCCAAGGACAGCACAGACGGCAGTGACCCTCAGCTGGGCACCTCCTGCTTCTTTCTTTAAAATAAGGAATGTTCTTGTTGTTACAATATTGTTGTGGAGCTGATAAAATTAAACAAAAGCTGTATTATTGCTATTATCATTCCGATAACTTTTCTGGGTGACAGCTCTGCCTTCCTTGAGGCACCTTTATCTGAGGGGGAGGTCACCAGAAGAGCATGTGATTTTCTTCCCTGCACCCATCTGCCTGCCCTTGTCCCCAGTTAACCAGGCCAAAAGTTGCACGTCAAGTCTCTGCTCATCTGGGCCTCCTGTCTCTCAGCAACCAGACCTGACAACCATACAGGCCTGGTGGGAGGAAGGCCCAGCACCTCCCCATTCCTAGCCTCCTCCCTGAAGGATTTTGCCTATGCCTATGTCACACCCGACCAAGATGGCAGCTGGGGTGACCATGAGCAAAGAGCTTGTGGGATCCCTGGGATGTGACTGTAGCAAGATTTGTACCCACTTTCCCCAGAGTTCTGAGCGTGGCTCCCACAGCCCCTTCCAACAACCCCAGCACTGCTCCAGCCTCCGCCCCAGCCTCTCACCTGGATAATCCAACCCGGCATCCTTAGCCTTCTTTGGGGCTGAGAGCTCGAGACCGTGGCTTAGGGACTCTTTGGAGAGTGTCTGCCCAGTAGTCAGGGAGCTGGTGGGGGATGGGAGGAAACATTGGTTAGATACATGGTGCCTGGCCTGGACTCCAGGACCCTGGCCCAGCACACACCTCAGCACCCCAGGTGACACTGGCATCTCTATCTCCTGCAGACTCCCAAGGGCATCCACAGGGGACCCCAAGGGGGGAAGGCAGGGGCCAAGACCTCAGTTTTTGCAGGAAGTAACTTCCCTACCCGCTGCCCTAGCATCCTCTGCAGGCTCTAAGGGCTCCCTGGAAAAGAAATGAGGTGCTGCTGTGCTCTGACTTGCTGTGTGAATCTGAGCAAGTTCCTCGTCTCTCTAATTCTCAGTGTCCCCATCTGGACAAGGAAGGGTTAGGATCTGGCATTACAGGACCCTGACCCCCATTCCAGTAGAGTATAGGTTTTGTGGTTGGAAAGTCACCATAGCAACAGCAGAGCTGCTATAGGATGGCAAGGGAGGGAGGAGTGGGGCTCAGTACCTTCTACCTTCACCCTGGCCCAAATCCCTCTCGCCTCCCAGTCTGGGGAACCTGGGTTTTATCCAGAGTCTCTATTCTCAGGCAGCCCAGCCCAGGGCTGCTGGACTTCCACCATCATCCCAGCCTCACGTGCCCTCAGCACCATCTCAACCTCCTGGGTTGATGAGCAGGTAATTCCAACACACACCTTCGGACTGCAGAGGCTGCAGGGTTGCCCAACTCCAGGGGCCCAGTACACAGTCATCAGCAATGTAAACAGAGCCCACTGGAATTGTGCAGTGGACAACCTGTGTGGCTGGTCATGGCAGCCCTGAGGGGGTAACCCTGGCTCCAGGGAGCCCCATTTGTCTGTCAGGGTGGGGTTAACCCCATCCCTGCCCAGTTCCCAGGAAGCTGGGCCAATTACCTGCTTCGTACATTCGGCCTTACTCCTTGCTGGTACTGCAAGTTCAAGCTAAGTTTTCCAACACACCCAGGCCCACCGGGCAGGCATCTGTTTAAGAACCTGAGTTAGGTTTTAGAGCAAAAGACAGCAAGAGGTTATGAAGGGAGGCCAGGGGTAGGGGACGAGAGGGAAGGGGAGGAGGGGAGGGCTGAGCTGGCTCCCTTCTTGGGAATGATGTAAGCAAGGTCATGGCTGAGGGACTGGAACAGACCTCCTGTTGCTATGGCAACTTGCTCCAGGCAGGAGGACAGGGTGACAAAGGATGCTCTGGGTGAGCCTGCTGGGCTGGAGAGGGAAGTGGAGTTCTCAGCTCCCCTCCCCCCATGGAGCTGGCTGGCTCTGGAGCATTGGGTAGTCAGGTAGAAGATGCCCCCCCACTTGGGGACAAAAAATGATTGTCATGTTACCAAACAGCCCCTGAACTCTAGGTGAATGAAGGGACAGTACAAAAGTAGGCTCTGGGTCCCACACCTTGATATCCTTATTCTATCTCAGCCTGTGGCCTCAAAAGATAGGGCAGGCCCCAGGGTGAATGAACCCTGTGCTCAGAGCAGATAGGCCTCTGAAATCCCAGGTTGGAGAACCACTCTTAAATTAACCCGGCTGTAATCTCCAGCATCTTAACTGTGCCTCACAAACAGGTCTTTTTCTGAGTCCTCACCATTAAAGTTGCAGATAGCATTCCCCCCACCTAATTAAATTTGTGTGAACTGGTTTTGGTTTTAAAACAGGTGCAAGGAGTAAATGAAAAGACAGCCACCCGGAGGAAGCTGAGTGACAAGCTACTTAGCCTGACTAGAGGCTTATTTACAGGGGAAGAGGCCTGCTAGGACCCCCCCTGTGGGGCCACATCACAGGAGAAATCTCTTTCTGTTCTTTTTTTTTTTTTTTTTGCTGGGACTGGGGTTTGAACTCAGGACTTCCTGCTTACGAAGCAGGTGCTCTACTGCTTAAATCACATCTCCAGTTCATTTTGCACTGGTTATTTTGGAGATGGGGGTCTCATGAAATATTTGTCCAGACTGGCCTCGAACCTCCCAATCTCAGCCTTCCAAGTAGCTAGGATTACAGGCGTAAGCCACCCGCCCTGGCTCTCTTTCTGTTCTTATTCATCAACCCCGTTCTGTCTTCTCTCCCTCCAGGGAGAGGGTTCACCCTGGTTCACCTCCAGGACTTGTGTGACAGGGACACATCACTTACTCTTCCAGTTGGCCTACGAAGGGTGTTAATTCAACCCTATGTCCTGTACTTAAAGAATTTGGAGTATGTGATTAAGAGGAAGCGCAAACCTAATTTTCCACCCAAATCAGGTTTGCTCTTTCCCTTTGAAATTGAGCCCTTTATGGCGAATTAGCATGCACTAAGTCTCCTTCTACCCTTTTCCTGCTCACTTGGGGTTCCAGCCAGTGACAGATTTCTTCGCCTGGCTTGTCACACAGAAGTGGGCCAAACTGCCTTGTAGCTAGCACCATCCACGCCTTGGCTGTCTCACACATTGGCTTCCTTGCTGGCAAAGGCTGTTCTTTCAGTTTTTTATCCTCTCCTACATCCGCAGTAGTCACTCTTGTCACTGTCAGCATGCTGGTTTCTAGTCACTCCTCTCCTTCCCACTCTTGCCGTTTCATTTTGTAGAATAGGAAACAAGACCACCACGCTTGTTAGAAGGGGAGGTTAAATCAGAGGAGATGTTCTGAAATGGGACCGTTCATGTTTTCTCAAAACCTTTCTCTGTTTTGACCTCTCAAAAGCATTTGGTGGGGGCGGGCAAATTGGCACACACCTTTAATCCCAGCACTTGGGAGGCTGAAGCAGGAGGATAGAGAATTCCAGGCCAGCCTAGGCTACACAGTGAGACTCTGTCTCAAAAAAAAAAAAAGTTTTTGAGGACAATGGGTAGTGGTAGAGTGTGCTTGCCTAGAGCACACAGGGCTCTGGCTCACCCCCAGCTTCTGCTTCTCTGCCATTTCCAGAAGGACAGGTAACAGGTAAATGACCCAGCTGTCTGGTTGCCTGAGGAAGGTGACTAACATTTTATTCCTGTCGTTCTGGAAAATTACACTCCTGTTGGAAGGTAAAGCTCCTGAAGTGGCCAATGTCCTTGGCCCAGAGGAGGAAGTTCACCTCTAGTAATAAAGAGACAACAAGGGCAGGAGGTGTGGCTCAAGTGGTAGAGCCGCCCTGGGTTCAATCCCCAGGTCCGCAAAATGAAAATGACAATAATGGTGGGAGAGGGGCCTTGGGGAGGCTGACTTGCTGTCTGTGTTTTGGATTCTTAGGAGGAAAGGGAGAAAGCAGCAACTTTCACCTTGATGAGGACAAAGACCTCCCAAAAGCACTGTCACTATAAACACCTCTCTTGTTTGTTTCTTTCACAGAAACAAACAAACCTAACTTCTTTGGCGCCTCCCTGGTGAGCAAGAAAGCAAAGCATGTTGGAGTAATTGCGTTTGCCATCTGTGATTGATGTGGGGAAAGGGCAATGTGGGAGGACCTGAGCTCTGCCTTCTCCCCAACCATCTCTCCAGATCTCCTTATGCCTTCTCGCCAACAGAGCCAACGGGAACAACTCGAACTCGGGTCCAAAGCCTCTCTGGCCTCCTTCAACCTCCTCCACCAGGAAACCCTCCTAGATTTCCCCAACACCTCTCAGGCAGCTTTGGACTCTGAAAGCCACACATGGCTTGGAACATTCCTGGAGAGCAGGGATTACCCCTGATTCAGCTCTGTCCTCCGGTCATGAGCACTCACTCACTGTTGGAGCTTAGTAAATGTTGTTTGGACCTTTGCCTCCAATTGTCATTCTGTGTGTAACGCACAAACCCCACATGGATGAGGATTATCACCTGGATGTTCCTGCTACCCCTTCTTCCCATTCAACCCTCAGCAGGGGTATTCAGCAGGTGCTTAATGAATGTTTTCTTCAAACAGCCTATCAATGAAGTTCACAAAGTCCATCTGCCTGCCAGGATTCAACTCACTTTACTAGCTGTGTGACCGAGGTCAGTCACTGCACATCTCTGAGCTGTGACATCTACCTGCATCCTAGGCTGCCGTGAGGAGAGGGAGGTTTAGGAAGAGTGTTTTGTGCAAACTCAGCTCTCATGGTTATCACAGGTGGGCTCTCGTGGATCTTTTGAGGAGTAATAAGACTCTGGTGAGATTGGGAGTCAGTGGGGTGAAAAAAAAAAAACCCAAACCCAAGTCAGGGGGCCAGGTGCTGTGCTGAGTACTCCCCCAGGAGACGGGGCAGGTAGCAGGAGAAAGGCAGGACCCTTGTTCTTACACTGTCCTCAGGATGGAGCTGGCTGCCCTGAGCAGAAGCACCTCTGGCATGGTCCCTGTGGGGCGACTGCACTTGGAGAGCCAGAGGGCGTGTCACAGTGTCCCGCAGGGGGACCACCCTGCAACAGAGACACACCGTGAGTCACCCGAGCCAGGGGCCCCTGCCGTCCTTTCTGGGCGTGACTCCCTGTTCCCGGGCCAGGCACCTGACTGCAATTTACTGTCCCTTGGATCAAATCAAACAGCGCACGCTTTGCGGGAGGTGGGGCTGCCTTGGGGCTCTGGTCTCTCTATCCCCACAGTCAATAGCTTGCCGGGACCAGCAAATAAGTCACATTTCTAGGACTCCTGCTTTGCAAAGACCCATGATCCCTGTACCGGTAACCTCCCTGGTGTACTTGACCTTTTCACCTCTCTCTCCTTAAGGCCAAGGGGAGAACCTGGCTCCCAGAAGCCAGAGAAGGATCTCACTGGAAGATGGTGCCTAGGTAGCTCCCCTTATCCTAAAAAACCCCAAATAGAAAGCAGTGGCTCCTCCAGATCCCCCAGTCCTGGCCCCCCAGGCCAGCTCCCAGCCCCTAACAATAGCAGCAGGCCCTCCCTGGCCTCCCCACTATCTTGCAAGGTGGACCCCAAGCTCTGCCCTTGATTACTTTAGGTCTGCCCAAAGATCAAGCTCTGCTGCTCTCCCCTGTCCTGGCTCCTTGCCCACAGACCCCAAGGAGCGCCCAAGGCAGAGGTGGGTCCACCACCCAGTGCACCCTGCTCACCTTCCTCCTCCTTGCAGCTGGCAGGC